TATTCTATTCTATTCTATTCTATTCTATTCTATTCTATTCTATTCTAATATCTTTGTGAAGAACTTATGAGGTGTTTGGCTGTATCTACATAATTTGTTCAGGAACTGGCACAACATAACTTGATTTCAAGCATGCTGCGTTCAAATTTCTCTTTCTTCTTGTAGCAGCCCAACTTTAACCAAGATATTGGGCCATGTTTTCATCTGCATTTGTTTTCAATAATATAAGGTTTCCAAGCTGTCAAGTGTATAAATTGAGAGCTATAATCTCCTTTTCTTAAGAAAATATGAATAAAACCAAATGTTCCTTCCAAAAGAGTAGAACAATATTGGGACTATAGCTAGACTGCTTTCAAAAATGCAGCAAGACTTCTGGTAGCAGGCCCAAGAAGGTCCCACAATCCATCTGCACTCTGATTCAGGTGACCCTGAGGATACAGATAAATCCCCAAGGGGCCTCAACGATTCCCAGTGAACGAATGACTGATCTTCAGAGTGCAAATGACTAGATGACTGCAAAGAATACCAATCCTTCTGTTCCACACCATTCAGTTAGAATGGAAGAAGCTTCTTGGATGAGAAGCAACATGTTTTCAAGGGGGAGAAAAACCCAGAAAATCCAATTGCCTTTTGGAAAAGCACCCTTGGGAGAACTATGACCTGGATGATAGAGACATGAAGCGAGACTTACTTGTGCTAAAGCTGCCCGTCAGTGGCTCAGACTGACCCTCGGTATAGAGGGAGAAAACGGCTACAGTATATTCAGTGAGAGATGTCAAGCTCTTCAAAATATGTGCTGACACTTGATCAACTTCTTCCTACATCCCAGAGGCGACAGGAATGAGAAAAATGATTACAAATCCACATCTACATGAGGATGGAAAATCCATATCTACGTCAAAAATAGAAAAGAGGCTTGGTCTAATTCTTCACCCAGAGACTTCTTCACAGTTGAAAAAGAAAACTCAGGTTAGAGACTCCAGGCTGCATCAATCAGCGTCTTGGCAAATTTCCCATCTTATAGAAAGGAACAATCTGTTTGCTCCCCTTTAGCTAAATGGAAAGGAGGAGCAGAGAAAAGGGGGCAGGTGCCAACAGATTCTTCATCCAGGGATGGATGGAATCAGAGTGTTATACAAATCACTACCGGTAGTCCTTAGCCCACAGCTAAGCCCCAAATTTCTGTTGCTAACCGAGACAGTTGTTAAGTGAGTTTTTCCCCATTTAGCGACCATTCTTGCCATGGTTGTTAAGTGAATAACTGCAGCTGTTTCGTTAGTAACAGGGTTGTTAATGCTTCCACATTGACTTTGCTTGTCAAAAAGTTGTTAAAGGTGATCACATGACATTGGGACACTGCCACCGTCATAAATACATTGTGGCTTGGATTGTGATACAAGCCCCCACCATGTTGCCTATGTTGACAGTCCAAGGGACACCACTGCTAGAAGGGCAAACTTGGCTGAACTTGTCGATTTCATCCAAAAGGAGAAAAGAAAGGAAGGAATTACTCTGCTGAACACCTGAGCATTTACAGACCAGATGCCCTTCCTGATGCCTACACAGAGTTCACAGCAGATAGATTTTTTTTTCCTGTGAACCCTGGGAGAGAAACATCTGCTGCTACCTAGGCTCAAACTCCCAACCTTCCAAGTGGGAGGCAAGCGTCTTTTCCATTAAGGCACCATGGCACTTATTATTATCATTATTCCACACTAAGCTTAAAAAAAGAAGAAAAAACCCCCCAAAGATCTCCTCTTTCACAACAGTGAATCCAGCAGCTCCATATGAAATGGACAGGAGAAAACAGCGAACGTGGTGGTGATCAGCCCCACAGCACCCACAGCATATACATCAGTTTACTGGAATGAAGGCATTTCTTTAAGAAGACTTGAAGTGCCACAAGTGAACTGGACTGTCCTGTCTATGCTAGCCAAGAGGAAACACGTTATTTCTGATGAAACTCAGATGGCGGTTGCCTTCCCAACAGCCATGGGGTGGGCTAAGGACGACATCATCCACTACACCCAAACTGATTGGTGGTTCATCCTCTCATCAGGGTAACCAGAAAGTGTGGGTTAGCCCTAAAGTTAATTGAGTGGGTGCTGAGGTCAGCATGATACAATCACCCTTGGCCCAGTTATTCAAACAGGACCGCGATGTCAGAGACCATCGGTCAGCCTAATGGGCTGAGGGGAAAAAAAATAAACAGAACAACCCCAGGACATGTGTTTATTATTTTTGTTTTGTTTTAAAAGTGCCCCAAAAGGAATATATCTGTTTATGAGCCAAACAGCTGTTCCTCAATTTTCTTTAAAAAGGGTTATCCTACCTATCAGCTTCACCTGATGGGAGGGGAAAAAATGGCTGCAAGTTAAAATGGACTCTGGGGGAAAAAAATATGCATTGGCTGTTTCTCGAGGGTGACATCCCTGGAATATTTATAATGTCCTGGACAGGCCAGATGGAGATCTTATTCCCCTGGTCCAGTGGCCGCATGCTTCCAATTCAAGATTCTCTAGTTAAATTTCCTGTTTCACGTAGGCTGGGAGAACCAGCTGCTTCAGTTATTAGAGGTGAAGAGAGGTTGAGAGCTAGAAAGAAATCTAGATTTTCTTTTTTCTTTATTAGAAAGTCATTTTTCCCAAGGCAGAAATGGTGAAACTGTCAATAAACAACTCATACCTAGTACACAAGAACAGTTTTTTCCTGAACACCATCACTCTGCTAACAAATAATTCCCTCAACACTGTCCAACTATATACAAATACAAATAGCACTACTACTACTATTAATCTTCTCATTGTTCCTTATCGCCCATCCCCTCCCATTTGTGACTGTATGACAGTAACTTTGTCGTTCGTACTGACTGTTTCCTAGTATGATATGATTGCTTATTGTACCCTATGACTATTATTAAGTGTTGTACCCAGTGGCGGTATTCTATTGGTTCAGCCCGGTTCGGCCGAGTCTGTAGCGGCGATGAGCAGCGGAGACTGAACCAGTTTTCTCCACTGCTCTGCTGTTGGGCCCACCTGCCCACTTGGGCTCCCATGCTCACCTTTATCCTCTGCTTTTGAAGCACAGCTGCTTTGCGCGGCACAACAGAGTGCCACGTAGCAGCTGCTGAAGCGACCGGGACAGTGCAGGCTTGCAGGAGGTGAGTTGGAACACCTCTGCACCTGCGGAAATACCTGTGCACCTGCATAAAGTGTGGTGCACACGGGCACGCAGTGTGTGCCCATGTGCAAAGCGCACCCACCAAGCCACACCCACCAAACTGGTGGTGAAACTTTTTGAATCCCACCACTGGTTGTACCTTCTGATTCTTGATTCTTAACAAATGTATCTTTTCTTTTATGTACACTGAGAGCATTTGCACCAAGACAAATTCCTTGTGTGTCTAATCACACTTGGCCAAAAAAGAATTCTATTCTATTCTATTCTATTCTATTCTATTCTACTCTACTCTACTCTACTCTACTCTACTCTACTCTACTCTACTCTACTCTACTCTACTCTATTCAAAGCACAAGAAGCATAAAGTGAGCCTCTTGTTACACTGTGAAAATGGCCAGAGGAAAAGGCATTGTGTTTAAACCCACAAGGGTCTAAAACAGGGGCAACAGGCCTGTTGCATCTTGTTACAGCTACAAAGATTCTTTACAAGCTGTGTCATGTTGAAATTCTGGAAAGCCTCAGCCAATTTCTTGCCAGGGGAAGGAGAGAGCCAGACAAGCAGGGAATGGAGAGATGTGTGTGCCAAGGATTATAAAGAAATGTTTATTGAAAAAGATGTAGATCTATATCAGCTTGGATGAGGAGTTTGCACGGATGGAGTGTTCTCAGAATTTATAGCAGTGAGGACTGCCTTGGGTAGGTGTTGTTCAGCCTCAGCAACCTAAGGATGTGTGGACTTCAATTCCCAGAATTCCACAGGCAGCCTTGAAGTCCACCTACCTCACAGGTGTCAAACTCACCACATTACGTTGCTGTCACGTGACATATCGTGATGGCTTTTCCCTTCACGGAGCTGGGGTGGGTGTGGAGCATCTGGCCCGTGGGCTGCCAGTTTGACACTCCTGACTTAGTTTAAAGTTGCTAAGGTTGAGCAACATTGAACTAGAGAGTCTAGGACACGGGTGTCAAACTCGCCACGTCATGTTGCTGTCATGTGATGTTTCACAATGTTTTCCCCCTTCACGGAGCTGGGTGGGCATGGCTGGTGCGCGACTCATCCAGCCCGTGGTCCACCAGTTTGATACCCCTGGTCTAGGATAATAGGCTTGGGGCCACTGGACCAGGGGAGTAAGATCTCCATTCTGGTCTGCCCAGAACATTATACATATTTCAGGGATTTCACCCTAGAAAAACAACCCATGCATATTTTTCCAGAGTCCATTTTGTTTGCTGCTATTTTTCCATCTCATCAGTTGAAACTCTATCATTATTTCTATCTGTCCATCCATTCAGTCATTCATCCCTCCATCCAGCCATTATCCCAGAAGGCAATAACAAATTAATTCTTTTTATTTTTTAGCAAACTAATTCTTTATATGCTGAGAAAAAACATGGACATGTCCATTTAGACACCGGTAAGTCAAGTTTCATTTAAAGAAGACTGCCTTTTCTTTTCTTAGCATATTATACCATTTACATTGGATAAAACAAACATTTAAAGAAAAGCACCTCAAACCCTACATGATGGTTGATTGTAAAGCACAAAATTATTTCGCCATGCCATTGCTTGGAAAGAGAATATGAAAAATGGGAGGTGGGAAACTAATGGCTTGAATAATTAAAGAAGAGATTTTTTTAAAAATGAGCCATATGCAAAATATAACAAAAACAATGTACTTATATAGGGAATTCAAATTTCATTGAAGAGGAAGCTACAAATGCTTTCTCAAACCTTTGAGATGGACCCATTTACCCCACTTTGATAACCCTTCTTAACCAAAGAAGTTAATCTAACTGCTATTATATGAGTTATTGCCAGACTTGGGGGGCGGGGGGCGAAATATTGGTTCCACAGAATAGTTCTGTTTTAAAGTTCTTCCTGTTTATTCTTTTAAAAATCTGCTTACCTCATTAGTTTCGGTCCCATCTGTCTTAACGTACATAATGCGATAGCCTTTGACCTTTGGGGAAGCTGGATCCCAAGCTATTTTGGCTGAGTTGTGATCCACATTTGAAAACTTCAAATTTCTTGGTGGACTTAAAGGCACTTGAAAATGGAAATGAATCCGTATTACAAATAATATCTTTCTTTTTCGGTCAGTCGACCTATTGTGATATATAGCTTCCAGTTGACATTAAGCATACAACACTATGTGTTTGATATAAAATCTGATCATGTTCAATGCAGTGCCCTCACCCAAGAAAATTCACATTGTATGGCTATTGGTGGGATTTTGTCACATGTATGGCTTGAGTTATATGGTTTGTTACTTGTGTAAATATGCTAGACTTTACAGCAAACTAAAGCCCAGGGGTGGGCTTCAATAATTTTAGCAATGAGTTCTATGCCCGGTTGCTGGGTGGGTGTGGCCATGGTGGGTGTGGCTTAGACAGCCTCCTGCGCCATGGTGGTGGTGGGGGTGTTTTTGCCTTCCCTAGTCTGTGGAGGCTTTCCTTGACCGGGTGGGTGAAAATGGCCTCCCCGGGCTCCGGAGGCTCTCTGGAAGCCAGAAACGGACTTGTTTCCAGCCTTCCCGAACTTCCAGGAGGCCCGTTTTTCACCCTCCCCATGTTGTGAATGCTCCAACAATGGAACATTAAGAAGAGATTGGACAACTGTTTTTCTGAAATGGTATATGGTTTCCTGAGCAGTGGGACAGCAGGTTTCCTGAGCAGGGAATTTCCTAAGCAGGCAGTTAGACTGGAAGACCTCCAAGGTCCCTTCCAATTCTGTTATTCACTCAGAAACAATGAGAACTTCTTAGATATTTCAAGACGTTCACTTGGAACGATTCTATATTCTAACACCTTCTTCTCCATCCCCAATTTGACCCTACATCGGATTATCTCAAATCCGTCCAAATTCCCCCATTTCCTGCTTTCTATGAAGGCTCAGTTCCTACCCATGTTTTTTTTTTTTATTCAGGAGGCTGAAATCCATTCTACTCCACGTTAACTCTATCTCTGTTTCCACGAAAATCAATTTGGTGGCCAATTCAACATCCCAATTTACATTAATAAACATCAAAAGGTAAACTCTCCTATCCCACATGTCACAAAACATTCCAGGGTCAGAGGCAGTGGTGTATTAACCATTAAGCAGACTAAGCACATGCTTAGGGCACCAGGCCCAAAGGGGGTATCACAAAAACCTTTATGTAGCCTAAGATTGCCTTCGTTTGTACAGTATGTACAAAGGAGAGGGGCACAAATATTTGTCAGTGCTTAGGGCACCAGTGAGCCTTAATTCACCACTGGTCAGAGGTCAAAACATCTGAATGAAAAAAAAAAACCTGTCCACAAACATTATGCTTCCTGCAATAATTCAGTTTTCTGTTCCTGGACTAAAACGTGACCTCTATTAGATTCATACATTCAGTTCTTTACAAGACAAACATACAACTCAGTTCTCACAGTATGCATCTACGTGTGGGGAAACAGTGAGCGCTTGACAATTTGAATTAAAGGAAACCTAGCCAATATGGAAAAATTCAAATCACTCTCAAACACAGTTTTCCAAAGCTGTTATAAATTATGTTTTAAAAGTGGTACTGACACATGAACACATGTTGTATGCTTAAACTATGAACTATTTTAATATGGAAAGTTTGGATCCCTTCATAGCATTTCTAGCCACACACACACAAAAAAAAAAAAAACCAATGAAAAGATAGTACAGCCATTTTTTTCCACTGGAATTTAGCAAAGCATGAAGTGTTGTATGAGTATACATATTTTAGAGAAATTGTACCCATTTTGTGTTAGGCTTCACCTCCAGAATTCCCATTCAGTTATCTGAGAATTCTTGAATTTGAAATCTTACAACTCTTGAAAGTGTCATGATATGAAAACAAACATTAAACTTTAAAACGTTAAAGATTGGGATGTAAAGAACAGGCTGCAGTTAAAATTCAATGGAATTAAAATAGATGTTATCTCACATCTATTTTAGACGGGAAGCAAAGAAGGTATTTTGAAGGAAAATAATCTTCAAGAAACTTAAAAACCTACTGTTGGACTTCAAAACTCTAAGGAAGAATAGTCCACTGAAGTCCCTTTCTATACATGATAATAATCAGTTAATAACAAGTTGTCATAGAAATCACAAGCACCATGCAAAAGGGACACAGTTGATCTTCATGTTCCTTCCTAAACAATGCTCTAGTGACTAAGGTAGGTATTCTAAAAGGTAGTTGTGTCTGATTCCAAGGTATGGTGTTTATCTCTGTTTCTTGGCCAAGGGAGCCAGCATTGTCCAAAGACAATTTCCATGGTCATGTGGCCAGCATACTTCAAAGGTGCATGGAATGCCATTACTTTCCCACCAAAGTGGTACCTATTTATCTACTTGCATTTGCATGCTTTCAAACTGCTAGGTGGGCAGGAACTGAGGCAGGTAATGGGAGCTCCCATTGAGTGGCGCTTGGGTCAAAGTGAAGTTGCTGTTCATGGTGCTGTTCCTAAACAATGCCTGTAGGGATTATTATTCTACTAAAGTTTAAAGGCGTTGTTTTTCAGTCTCAGAAAGCCTTTCCAGAATTTACTCCTAAGACAAGTAGAAACACATAAAAACCACTTGCATGTTGTTTCTTGTCCTGTAAGAGGATCACTGGCTTCTTCTCCAAACATTGCATAAACGGTGACTGTATAGTCTGTGTTGGGTAGCAGACCCTCAAGTTCAACATGTGTGGCGCTCACTCCAATTTTCATCTATAAAAAAATAGCAATAAAAAAACCACTTAGACTTATATATCACTCCATAGTGCTTTACAACACTCTCTGGGTGGTTTACAATCTCAGCACATTGCCCCTACAATCTGTGTCCTCATTGTACTGACATGGGTGGAAGGCTGAGTCAACCTTGGGTTGGTCAGGATCAAACTCCTGGCTGTGAGCAGAGTTAGCCTGCAATACTGCATTCTAACCCCTGTGCCACCACAGTGATTAGAATGCAGTCTTTTAATGTGAGTTCATTATTTTAAAAATATGAAATAGTAGCATATATGAGTAGAAGATGAAGAACTTTTTCAGGACACAGAATAATTTCTGTCAAAGTAAGAAAAACAGGATTTGTGATATTAACAAGGGATTGATTCATACCACTATGTCCTGCCTGAGGATCATTTGCACAAATTAGTACTATAATGGCTTGATGGGCAGCTGTCCAATTTGTGAGAAATCCTAGAATATCAAAAACCAGCAACTGAAACCTAGTCCAAAAGGCAGAAATGTAGAACTGGGATTGCCACAATTACACAAGTCCCTTTGTACTTTCATATAATCTTCTCCATAACATTTGATCAGCTATCCTTAAAATATATAATACTGTAAATTTCACATTTGCTACTATTAATTACTGTTAATAATTTTGAGTCAGAAAAGTTTCAGATCTATAAAAAGAAAAGACACAATTGATTTTATCACCCTTACTATACATGTTATCGGTAGAGCATCTATTATAGAAAATTCAGAATGACACAACAGTTGCAAGTCAATAGATTCTTATGAAGTTGAAGATCTAATTCTTCAAGTCATTACAAATATATTGAACAGTACATTGACTAGATTTACTTGAAATTTGTCTCTTGAATATGTCTTTAGACAGAGGATCTTAAGATTTTTTTATTTCAATTAATTTTCTGCAAGAGATATATGCTATATAACTTACAAAAAAACTGAATATGTGTAATCATTCTTGATTCTCTTCTAGAAGCTTACATGCCTTTTTAATACTACTTAGAATTCTCCCACTTGAACAAGCATGAACATAATTTCACACTAGAAATCAAGAGATAGGCTAGGTCCATTGTTTAATCTGTCAGAGTTTTTAGCCAGTTCATACTAAATACAATTTCTGTCCACACCTTAGGCAAAACTGATTTTAATTTTACTTAGGAATGTAGGACAATTTTTCTGCACACAAACATATTATATTCCACACTTGAAGCAAAGTGAAGTAGTCATTCCAAATTACACTTCTCAGAATGGTACCTTGCAGTTTGACAACATTTTAAAAATCTCTATTAGCTAAAACTCTGTTTAAAAACTCATACACGTATTGTACAAAAATGCACCAAATTAGAAAAACTAATTTGCAAAAATGGTAAACTAAGCCAAATCACAAACAAAAATGTCCAGGTTTGAATAGATATGCAGCAAAATGCATTTTAGATAGAATATAAATCTTAGCACAGAATTTTTCTTTTTAAAATCACATTCAGTGCTGTGGACTTGAATGTATATTCATAGAAAAGAGCAAGCGAGAAAAAATTAAAAAACCTTTAGGGGGGAAAACATTGAAATTGGCTCTGATGTCCATCTTAAAGTCTGTATCAGCCTTTTATAAAATATATCTTGCCAAGAAACTCGTAAGCAAATAATAGCTTCCTGACTTGGAGTCAATTAAACTTCCTGGGATTTTTTTTTTTTTTTTTTTTGGTCTGCTTGGTTTTGAAAAAGTGAAAGGAAAGTATTTAGCAGAAAAATGAAATTGCATTTACCCCAATGGAGTACTATTGATATGAGAGGCCATTTTCTGTAGAGCACCTTCCATTTCGTAAGTGATTAGCAGCTATCAAAAAGGCATAACATTATGTAGAATTGATGGGGACACTTGGATTCGAGTAAAAGATACTTCAGTGATGCTCATAGGATGATCTTTGATTCATCACTAATCTCTAATCCTGACCTAATTCAATGTCAAACCAACCACAAGGGTTCTCAGCTTCTATCAATCCCCAACTGGTTGTGATTACTGCATCTTTTCAATTGGTTCACTATTACTTCCCAAGTGTCATTAACCCAAATTCTGGACAAGCTCCTCCATGAGACTGTAATATTCTGGTACAAGAGAAGAGCCACTGTCTGGGGAAGCTACTGGGGCAGCTACTCATTATGTTACATGAGATTGTTGGGTTGGGTTCCATACTCAATTCAAACCAAGAAGATTGAGTTATACTGTGGAATGTACAGGCTCTTCACAACAAAATAATCTTATATTCCTCTACACTCTTAGAATACTCTGTGAGTTGGGTCTGTATCAGGAAATTCCATGTTTAATTGTGAAGAGTCTATACATTCCATAGTCCATCTCAATCTTCTTTGTTTGAATGGAGTATGGGACCCAACCCAACCCAACAATCTCATGTAATATAAGATCTTTAGCAAATGTAATGAATGAAAAGAAGAGTTTCACATGATTTTTGGAGTCTTCTCTCTCCCTTCTGAAATATTTGTCACTCTTCATAGTTTTGGGTCCTCTACAAATGTGATCATCATTACCCTCAAATCCTCAATCCAGGCCATTAACAAACTTCTTCAACAACAGGACAGAGGCCTATGACACTCCATTGGTGGGGTGCCTATACTTTCACAGGGATAATTATTTAACTGAAAATAGGGACTTCTTAGTTTTTCAAGAATCTCAGCCCACCCTTTGAAACAGGATCCCAAGACCTAATTGATGCTATGTTCTCTCACCTCCTTTTCCTCTGCTGCTAAGCCATCAATGAGGGGCGCATACAGAATCATATAGCCAGTTGCACCAGCTACTGCCTTCCACTTTACTTTCATACTGTTGTGCGAGGCATTATACAACTCCAAATCAGATGCCATTGGTAACGCAACTGCAGAGAGAAAAATACAAGAGTTACCGCCTAATTTCTGCAATCTGGTCATTTTGGATAGCTAGATAATTGCTCTTCAGCTGCAATAAATAAAATTACAAGTCTTGTTAATCTGCACATCAGCTCTCAGAGGTTGGAGCTGACTATTTCCAAAACACAAAATAGCAAATGAAACCATCCTTTGTTTGGGATGTGACTGAAATCAACATAGATAGCAAATCTGTGAGGTGTTAGATACTTAGATCTCAATGTTATAAAGACAAAGCCAAGTCTTGTACAGCTTTATATAATAATAGCAGCACCTTGAATTTAGTGACATTCACTCTCCCCTGGTGTAACAGAACGTCTGGATGACCTTGAGGGGACAAATAAAAGAGACGATGCCTAGGAAACAATCAGATAAAAGCAGGGGAAGACCTCAAGGACTTAGCTATCAAAGGAAGAAACTTAGGAAAGGCCAGCCCTAATTGATCAGATGGTTCAAACTGATGGTAGGACGTTTGTACCTTCAAACTTGCAAGATTCTATTAACATAGCCTTACAATAAAGTAGATTTAATTTGTCTAGCTGTGTTTCCTGTCTGATTAACTTGGGAGGGCTGATACCCAAGACCCTGGGAGAATAGCCAGGTTTTTAATAGCTTCCTGAACGTCATGAGGATGGAAATGAATTTACACAGAGATATTCTGCTAATCAATGGACAATGACAATATGGGTGTGTACCTCTGTTGAAATGGATTCATCCCTCACAACTCAGGCACACTGTAGACAAAAGGAAGGGGGCTATTTTGGAGATATTATTGACCCCATTCTCTGAATTCTGATCAAAAATGCATTTAGCTTTGTCCTTTTCCCTGTTTCTCACACCCAAGGCTTACGTGTATTTACTTCAGCTGCTAACTGCTGCATTCTCTCAAAACTACACTTCATGCCTGAATCCATGGTGTTTTCATTTTCATTGTGTTATCTGCCAGCAAGGTCAAATATAGTATATTTTTCCACCCTCTCTCCATGACAGCATCATTTTTCCCCTTGAAATGTTACCTGGAGCGATTAATATTTACTTATTTCAGAGAACATTGCTTTATGACACTTGAGCAAAGATTAAATAAAAACTCTGCTTGGAAAGGTAGGTGCTGCCTTAGGCAGTAGTGGAATCAGAAACACGTACAGCTGTACTGAGTCAGAACTTGACTTCAAAAGAGCACCAGGTGTCGTGGGAAATGATGTTACTGGGACAGTATGCGCTTTGGACCATGGAATTCGTCATTAACCAATTCCTAACCACCTCTGATCAATCAAGGGCTAGGCTAGACTTTTAATTCTTCTACAATGCAACCCCACCCAAGTTTGCTCAGAAAATGGGGCCATGATGGGTAAGCACTCCCTAGGTAGACGAGACCTGGAAACCAATTCCAAAAATGGCTGAGCCATTGATTGAGATGGTCTAATAATAACAAAATCTTGCGATTCATATTCTCCTCCTCCTCCTTATACTTCTGTGAATTAAGGAGGCCTCTGCCTGATCCACTTTCAAATGTTATCATGTTGCTCTGGACTTTAAAAAAAACAAAAACATTTCAGCCTATTTTCCTTGGGTAACAGGTTCTTTTTTTCTCTACATGATGGTAAGTATATCACAACATCAGAGTCTCTTATTGTAAGGCGAATAGTCCGTGGGCTGCTAGAAAAACACCGGGATTGGAGAGAGAGCCAAGGAAACAGTTCTGGGATGATTTTGATCCCGAGAACTGTATCACCTTTGTAAGAATAATTCAGGAAACTCTTTCAGTTGCCCCTGAAAAAGAAGGAAATATTTCCCTGACATGAGCAGATTTTGGGGGGGATGCACTGAGGGAGCAGTGGGAAAATAACTATCTATGGAGGTTCTCCGTCATCCAGGTCATGGTTATCCCAAAGGTGCTTTTTCAAATAGAAGAGTATAATAGAGTTGGAAGGGATCTTGGAGCTCTTCTAGTCTAACCTCAGGCAGGAAACCCGATACCATTTCAGACAAATTGTTATCCAATCTCTTCTTTAAAACTTCCAGTTTTGGAGCATTCACAACTTCTGGAGGCAAGTTGTTCCACTGATTAATTGTTCTGTCAGGAAATTTCTCCTTAGTTTTAGATTGCTTCTCTCCCTGATTAGTTTCCACCCATTGCTTCTTGTCCTGCCCTCAGGTGCTTTGGAGAATAGCTTGACTCCCTCTTCTTTGTGGCAGCCCCCTAATATATTGGAACACTGCTATTACATCACAAAGTCCAGTTGCCTTTTTAAAAAGCACCTTTGAAACAAAGGAAGAGTAGGGTGTTTATTGTTTAGCTCTCCCATAAACTCAGAAATATGAATGAAAACCGGGTGATTTCATCTGCACCATTCCTAAAAATGCAATGCTCAGAAAGCAGCTGAAGGTCTTCGTGCCACCAGGTCCAAATGTAGAACAATTCTAACCCATATGCACTTCAAGAAACCCTATCCATATCATTGGCATCATTTAATTGATTCTGCTCAAAGGATACGTAGGAGATGCCCAAGCTGAGCCCAAGGGAGGAGGGGTCAAGCACATCATCAGTCTGGAGTCCCTTCATGTCGAAAAAGGTTTTATGTCCAGCTCAGTTTGAATTCCGTCGACTTTTATCTATCACCAATTTGCCTTGACCATTAGAAGATCAGATTCTTGTTTAGAAGTTGAATCGACAGAACTGTTAAACTTGTACTCATTTCAACCACCCTGGTTCCTGATTTCTTGTGTCTGACAGGATAGTTGATAGCCGACGCCACATAGGAAAACACAGCTAAATTGCTGTCAAGCCTATTCAGACACAACTCAGATTCAGCAATACAGAGTGAGGAGTGAAGACTCTTAGCAAAAGTCCTGCTGTTCTGACTAGGGAATTTATCCTCACAACTTGTAACAAGAACTGCTGGCAAGTTCTACCAAAATAGAAGCAGGGAAAAGGCTGACCTTAAAGGAAAGAGGTCATTTTAAAGTATGGGATGTCAAGAGGTACTCTTGATGCTTGGAAGTAAATGGCCGAACCTATCTTGAAACCAGAAGTATATTTTTATGTGCGTTAACTTAATGGCAAACCCTACCAGCTCACCACATCTGGAGCAGAAGTGGGATCCTACTATTCCACTACCGGTTCGGTGACTGCACACGTGCATGCATGCACCTAACATGGGCATGCAGCTTTCCACACACCAGCTGAAACCTGCAGCACCAATCAGCCGAGAGGATAAAGAAGAGAAATGCGCAGGGGCAGGTGGGAGGGCCAATCCTGCGCTTTTCTCTTCTTTCTCCACTCAGCTGATCTTTGGTTTTACTACCAGTTCAGGTGAACCGGGCCAAACTGGTAGCATACCACCACTGATCCGGACAGAACTTGACTGTTCAAGTGAGGGTTTGAATTGAATTTTTCCCAGTACATCAGGGATCCCTTAGAAAATCCTCCTGCTTTTCTCACTGACCTTAGGAGGAAAAGTTTCCCATCAATGCTAATGAAATAGAATAGAATTCTTTATTGGCCAAGTGTGATTGGACACACAAGGAATTTGTCTTTGATGCATATGCTCTCAGTGTACATAAAGAAAAAATAAAATGTATTCATCAAGAATCATAAGATACAACACTTAGTGATAGTCATAGGTTACTAATAAGCAACCAAATCATACTAGGAAACAATATAAATTGTAAAGATACAAACAACACAGTTATAGTCATAAGTGGGAAGAGATAGGTACTAGGAAAGATGAAACGGGTAATAGTAATACAGTCTTAGTAAATAATTTGACAGTGTTGTGGGAATTAGTTGTTTAGCAGAGTGATGGCATTCAGGGAAAAACTGTCCTTGTGTGTAGTTGTTCTGGTGTGCAGAGCCTTATAGCATCATTTTGAGGGTAGAATTGAAACTATTTATATCCAGGATGTGAGGGGTCTGTTGATATTTTCACAGCCCTCTTTTTGACTCATGCAGTCATAACAGCAGCTAAGGCAGAAGGAAGAGTTATTTTTAAATAGATTGTGGCTGAGAAGGAAAGTATTAAGACCCTTGTTTTCTAGGTGTTCTGATTCCAGCCAAAAATCAACACAAAATAATGTTAAATGAACCTTTTCTTCCCTTGTCCAACAGCTTTTCATCAGGGGTAGGTTTATATCTAGAACCAGCAGATACACACTTGCAATGCAAAATTAGATCGTTCTAACATAAACTTAAAATACTGCCACGTTCCTTTTTTGTCACTTACGTGTCGTCTCAGTACCCCGGAGACCTTCACTGGCAGAACTAACATAGATGGCAAACACAGCAATCTGATATTCGGTTAAAGACATCAAGTTTTTCAGTATTGCTGTTGAAACTGTTCCATCTACCACCACCTGTACAAAAGACAAGATACCTTTAAACAGAGTTGCTAAAATGACCACAAAGCAGGCTTTCTCCTGGATCTGAAAACAGGTTGTCATTCAATTCACAAAGAAAAAAACTAAACCTGGATTAGAGAGGCGCAGGAGTAATTGGTCACTGCTTCTAATAGTGATTATCAATATATTTTGCTTAACACAATCATGGGATCTTATAGTTTCGTAGAATCATAGAGTCATAGGGTTGGAAGGAATCTCAGAGGTCTTCTAGCCCAACCCCCTGCTGAAGTGAAGATTCTTATACCATCCCAGTTAAGTGGATGTCGAATCTTTCCTTGAAAACCTCCAGTGATGGAGCACTTACGTTCAGCGGTGCGATTCAACAAGTGTAACAACCACTTCGGTGAGCTTGCATACGCGCACAGCGTTTGGAAAAGACCATTTTTAGCTATAATACTTATCTTCTGCTGCAGCCCTGGTGAGTAAAACAGCTGATGCGCGGCAAATCAGCTGTGCTCAAAAACAAAGGAAATAAAGCACAGGGAAAGGGTAGGGGTGGATGGGCGTGGCCAAATGGTCACCAGAACTACCGGTTCACCCGAACCTGTCTGAACCAGCAGAATCCCACTCCTGCTTACATTTCCAGGATGCAAGCTGTTCCATTGGTTAATCGCTCTCACTGTCAAACGATTTTTTCCTTACTCCTAGAGGTTGCATCTTTCTTTGACGAGCTTCCACCCATTATTTTTGTCTTGCCCTCAGGACAAACAGTGATTGTTACTTCATTACCTCTTCTGGTTGCCCTCCTTTGGTGGGATAATAGACCACTCGGTACTTTTCCACTTTGCCCGGTGCATGAGTCCAACTCACACGGAACCCTCTGGCTGTCACTTCAGATGTGACCAAATCTGTAGGTGCTCCAAGCGCGGCAACCAATGACCCTAAAGTTTTAGACACGGAATATAGAATGATATTTTATATAGAATTATATAGAAATTCTAGAACTAGAAAACCTTGAATTACGCCGTCTTCGGTCTGATTTAAGCATGGTATATAAAATCATACATTGCAATGTCCTACCTGTCAATGAATACTTCAGCTTCAACCATAACAACACAAGAGCACACAATAGATACAAACTCAAAGTTAACCGCACCAAACTTGATTGCAGGAAATACGACTTCAGCAATAGAGTGGTCAATGTCTGGAATACTCTACCCGACTCTGTAGTTTCTTCCCCAAACCCCAAAAACTTTAACCTTAGACTGTCTACTATTGACCACACCCCTTTCCTAAGAGGTCTGTAGGGGGCGTGCATAAGCGCACCAACGTGCCTACCGTCCCTGTCCTATTGTTTCTCTTATTCTTGTTTTATTTTTCTTATATGTACCCATTTCATGTATTCACAACTATGTATACACTGATACTTATTATCTTGTAAACAATTGGCAAATCAAATAAATAAATTATGGGGCTGGAAGGGACCTTGGAGGTCTTCTAGACCAACCCCTTGCCCAAAGCAGGAGTTTTCATACCATCCTGGATAAATGGATGTCCAATCTCTCCTTGAAAACCTTTCCAGTGATGCAGCACCCACATATCCAGGAGGCAAACTGCTCTCACTATCAATACATTTTTCCTTAGTTCTAGGTAGAACCTCTCTTTAGTGACTTTCACCCATTTCTTCTTATCCTTCCCCCAGGTGCTTTGGAGAATAAATCAATTCCCTCGTCTCTGTGATAGTCCATCAAATATTGGAAGGTAGCTATAATGTCAACCTAATCCTTTTCTTTGCTAGGCTAGACATACCTAGTTATGTCTAGTTAGTTAGGCTAAACATACCCAGACATCAGAGAAACAAATTATTTCCCCAAAATGATCATCTTGTTTAATTCTTAACTTTTCTAGATCTTGTAGCCAATCTATTGGCAGACAACTCTATAACGATTCAGATCAATGCCAGAAGAAACAAATTTTGGAAAAATTAAGTGGAAGAAATTTTTTACCCAGCACATAAAATTTGTTTGAATAAGATGTACTACCAGGTTCACATTCCAGAATTATTCATGAAGAAAATAATGGCTGCTAGTCACTACGGCCATAATGTGTTGGCCATGTAGCAAGAGAAAGGTGGATGAGATGACACCTAACACCATTCATTTTATGTCCTTTGAAAAGAGTATCTCTCCTGGCTATTCTTACCTTTGATTTCTTTCTCTTGTTCTTCAACTCTCATGCACACAGTCTTTGTAAGTTCTTCCACAATGGAGTTCATTAAACTGAAGTCAGCAACATTGTAGACGTGAGTGCTGTGTGGTTCAGAAGCAATTTCCTTCAGTTCGTTTTCATCAGCATTCTTTACACCTGGTATCAGAGGAAGAAACAACAAAGTGCAATTTTACATAATAAAATAGCTTGGCTATTTTATTAGCAAATCCGCAAACACTGGCTGACAGTCAAATGCCACGATCCCAAATCCTCATTCCGATCATCCCTCATTCCACACCGATACCAAACAGCACCAGTTTGATTGGAGCAACACAAAAATCATCGGCCACCTGCCACATTTGTGAGTTCATCAAAACCTGACACTCCACAAGCATTTCCATCAACAGACACATTGACCTACAACCAGCCTACGAACCCCTCAGAATCCAAAACAACTGCACAGCCAACCACAGAAAGCGGTGACCCTCAGCCAACCCACACAACCCCCCCATCAGTAGTTCATCTCCCAATGACCCCAACCTCCTTATCACAACACCCATCACAAGACTCACTGATGACTCATCACAAGACCTATCACAAGACCCTCCCTTGACACCCGACACCAAAAGCCCTTATAAACAGAAGAACACTGACATCCCCTAAACCTCGCTGAAGATGTTACCTAGCCTCGTACTGAAACGTTTGGAAACCAACCCACAAACTTGGAGAATGAATCTTTACCCTCAAAATAGCTTGGCTTGGACATAATTTTGTAAACAAATCTTTGATTTGGGTTAGCAAAGCCATTGTGATTATAAGCCAGCATGTGAATTAATCTACTATGGCTTATTTTTTTAAAAAAAATGGATTTGTGAACCGATCTGAGGACATTGTCAATATATACAAAGGATTTGTTCATGGTGGACATCATTTCAGCTTTGATCAATATGCTCAGGAAAACAATTTGCCTGAAAACGGGGTGTGTGGGTTCTGTAGAGATATATCAGCAAAAGGTAGATGCTTATTAACCACTATTAGCAAGGTTGCAAGCTCTTATGGTTCAGGACCACAACTTTCAGCTTTCTGGACACAAGGAGCCAACCCAAGGCAAGTGATGCCACTGAAAAGGTCTTGGTTAGCTTAATGGTCCCTTCTCCAAGATTTGGTGAGGTTAAAGATGTGATTGGGAATGGAGCTAATGTTTCAAGTTTGAAACATTCCATTTCAAGTTAAAACAATGCTTTGTTTGAAACAACTCCATTCCAAACTCAAAACCATCCCATTTCATGATGAAAAACATATGTTCTAAACTTGAAAAAAATTCTTTTGAAACCATTCAATTTTGAAACAATTTGCACATCTTTACTTTAATTGTCCCTTAGACCCCTAAAATACACTGAATCCACACCACCACAATTCAACTACTTTACTGCTGAGTTTAGACAGCTGGGAACCACAGGTTTCCTGCTGTAAGTACATCTTACACTGTAAACCCTGCATTGGACTAGGCACATTCTAGAACCTCAATTCTATGACTATTTCTGCAACACATACCTATGGCAAACAGTTCGATACCAGCATCTCTCAGGCTTTTTGCAGGTGGAATGACATCGTCTTGGGATTTCCCATCAGTGATCAATATGCCAATTTTGGGGACTCCAGGTCTTGAACCTGCATCTGGCTTAAAGTTGTTTTCCAAAATAAAAGTTAAAGCGAGACCTGTGCATACAGAAGGAAGGAGAGAGAAGGTGAAGAAGAAGGATTGCTGTGTCTGCAAGACTATCAAATATTTTATTACTTATATTGACAGTTCTCATAATGGCTGGTTGACTGCTTCCTCCTGGTTAACAGATAAAAAGATCCTCTTAATTCTTTTAAATATGGAATTTATTCTTCAACAAAGACTGAGAAAATGATACCCACAGATCTCATAGGGTATGTGTCATGGATGCATGACGCAACAGTTTTCCATGGGGAAAAGATTAAAAGTGCTCTAGAAACCTAAAGCTTAGAAGGACCCAATATAAATCTAGACACAGAAGTAGGTGATAAGGAGAGGAGCAAGCAAGCTTAAGGCACTTCTATCAAAAGATTTTGTATCAGATCAAAATCAGCTCTGGGCTTCTATAAGGCCAACACTGTTGATTATGTTCATAAGTTGAGTGAGCTTATTTCTGGGACAACTGCAGTGAGGCAAACATAAAGTTACTCTTATCTTTCAAGGCTGGGTGTGAATGTAACTTATGAGCATCCTATTATACCATTTGCATGTCTTTCTATTTCATCATACCTCCTGGCTTTTGGGCTCAAGAAGAATTATGTCTTCACGTTGTTGTAGCTACCCTTTCCCCAATTGAAACTATTCAAATGTTTGGTGAGATTTAGGGTGGGTTTTTTTTTTCATACAACCAGACAAATGCACACAATAAAAAGATGCTGATGGAGTGAGGATCCAAATATTTTATTTTAAATATTAATTTTGAAGTGAGAGGTAGAAATGTCTATTTCTGCAAGACCTAACCAGTGGATTCTGGTTTGAGGCAGTGATTTTTGGGTTCTGTTCTCCATGTTCTTAAATTAAAGGAAGAGGGGAAAACACAGAGCATCCCTCAAGGTGTTTGGGGGAACTGAGACCTGGGGACAATGGCAGGACAGCAATGTTTCCACTATTCCCAAGCACACTTTCTTAGCTTTGAAAACAGGCTACAGTTAAATGTAAGAACCAGTTTAATGTTATTGTTAAAGGTGCTGGACTGTAAATGGAGGCCATGGTTTGTAGCCCTGCCTTAGGCATGAAGCCAGCTGGGAGCTATTGAGCCAATCCCTCTATCTCAGCTCTAAGAAGCAGACAAGGACAAACCACTTCCCAAAATGTTGCCAAGAAAATATTACAAGGACTTGCCCAGACAGTCACAGAAGTGAATGATTAACTCAAAGGCAGGGAGGGGGAACAATTAAGGGTAGCTAAGGAAGCCCATAGATGCTTGTTTTTACTTGAACATACATTATTCTTTTTCTGCAATAAATAATCTGCTTCCTAATTAGCAGGCATTCAAAGAGGGCCACAACCATCACAGTAGGGGAAACTAATTTTGAGATAGAGAGCAAGAAAAGATTGCTTCAATTACAGCTTCTGGGGACTATTTATTTATTTATCACATTTTTTTATACCACCCTTCTTACCTAAGTGACTTTTATTTACAATAAATAA